TGATGCTTGCACGGGTTTCTGTCAAACATGAAACGCAGTTCCAGTTTTGTTTCTTTTTTCGTGAGGTTCCGTACGTGTTTATAGGACTCCTAAAAACATGCTGCTTCCCTTTGGTCTCACTTTAACAGCATCCAAAAACTATTTACCAGCTGGAAGATTGAAGCTATATGAAGCAATCGTTGCTAAACCGAGGTTCCGGAGGGGAAACTTACAGGCCCCGAACCGATACTCAAACCGATACTCAGTCGATACCTAATCGATACTCATGCCTGTCAAATCCATGCAGTTGCCCAACCGTATGCCCTGTCTCTTTTTTGCTATCTTCACACCAACTCTGGATTTCCTCTTCCTAATGGCCGAACCTGCTGTTCAAACACGTGAAATTGCGCGAGGACTTGCAGTGCACTTGACAACTCCTGGACCCCAATGATCGTAGACCGATGCTGAGGAAGAAGAACGATACTAGCCGACGGGGCTTTTGTTTCAGCCCATGCCGAGAGGCAACATGTCAGCAGGTCAGATCCTGCATTCCCAAATCGCCGGCTCGCGCTCAGACTTGTCCTGGGCGACCCTGGAGCAACGGGCTGGCCAGCCAATGGAGCAGGCACTGCTTCCCTTGGCCGAGGCGAGCAAGGACATCTCCCGAATTTCGCAACTGAAGTTGCTTTACTTGTAGCTGCTATGGATATTATGGCGCCGGGCCACCAACTTGGTGCTACACCAGCCTTTGCATTGCCTAGCGATGCTAGGCGCCCAAGCAAACGCTTGCCCTCTGTTTCCTGCGCACCTGCCGGCCAAAGATATTTGGCACCACCAGTTTGGGAGGTCATGGCCATGTCAAGGTGATCCGTTGACACGTGATTGACACATCCTGACGTGTAGCACTCCACTGGATTCAAGCGCATCCAATGCACCCTTCAGTTTCCACAGGCCAAGGCCAGGGCTACGACATCGGGGTGTAGGAAACAAGCCAACGGGCTGTGGGCTTCGCCTGCCAAGCGCCGTTGGGCCAAGTCCAGGTGCTCCATGTGCGCAACACCGGCTTGCAGCTGGAGCTCTCCATCAAGGCACAAAAGAACGAATGGGAGCTCAGAGCACGAGCCGCGCGAGGCACACCAATTTGCCCAGGTTTTGGAGCGCCTGGGTTGTTTGGCTTGGCAAGTTGAGCCGTTGGACCTTCAAGGCCCAAGGATCCGGACAAATGAGTCATGATCGGCGTACTTCCACCTTTTCGAGCATCCAGCGAGTTGTATCTTGGGTTCTGGAGCTCGCCCCACGTTTGTTGTTTCTTGAGGGTACTCTTTTTGGGCGGAAACCTCTCATTTGGGGCTCCGGGTCTCAAAAATGACAACGCCTGCAGGGCCAACAGCAAGCGACGAGCCTGGAGTTCGGTGACCCCGGATTCGCCATGTTCGACTCGCAATACTTGGAGCTTCAACTGGCAATCAAACAAGTCGTTCCAATTCTGTGGTTGAGCGCAACAACTGTTCCCAGCTTCAAGCCTGAGGAACGCTGCCACTAGAATGCCCTGCTTGTGCAGAGCACTGGCCCATGTTGAGTCAGAATGTTTGGTGGACAGGCGGCAGGAGATTCTTGGGGTTTGACATGCCGAGGTACCTCAGAAGAGCGGCTTGCTTGGGAGCGATACCTGAACCTTGCCGCTGAGGCCATGTGCACTGTCACAGAAGATTGAGGCTGTGAGCAGCGCTTGCTTGTTTGGTGGCTCCAGTCACTCTGTATCAACAGTCGGCGCAGTCAAAACGCCATGAGTGTTAATGGGAACAAGGTGGGCAGCTCCCTACGTCAATGATGTCTAGACTCCTTGTTGCAATTCATGTCATAACTTGGAGCCCGAAAAGGCTTCAACTCGTTGCCTATCATGGCAGTCGGTTCTGAATCAAGCGCAGACCAGGCTGTTTACAGCAGCTTGCCCCCAGATTGTGATTGCACAGGTTCTGATCCCAGAAAGCGAGCGCGCAGAAAGGGAAGATGCAAAGGCTGGAGATGGTGCTGAAAGCGGATGGCAGCCTCTTTGTCCAAGGTTCTAGGGGCATCAACTCTCTTGGCGCACAGCCCACAGACATGTATCATTCTGTTGCACCCGATTGCACCCTCAGTCAGAAACGGGCCAACAACACTATTCAACTAGCAGGGACAACACGATTATTGCTTTCTTTGCATTCTTTGTTTGCCCGTGTCCAAAACGTGTGGCGATGTTTGTCATGTTTTGTGTCGTGTGTTTTCCGTTTTTCCGTTTAGTCGATTTTTTTGAACTGCGATGATGTCATGCTGCTGTTAACCACTTGTTTTTTTTTCGTTTTTTTTTTTTTTTTTTTTTTTTTTTCTCTTTTTTTTTTCTGAAGACAATCGCAGTTGAAGTTGTTTCTTTCTTTTTTTTCAAGACTGCGCGACAAAGTCAAAGGTGCCTACACCACTTAATGCAAAATGCTGGACCTTTGGCCAGCTGCCCTTGTTAACTCATACGCTTTGTTTGACGTGGGTGCCGATAGAAGCTCCGGTCGCATGCCAGGATATGCGCTTACATTGTTGACAGCGCACAGATTTTGAGCAACTCTAGCCCGAAGCTGTCCTTTGAGAAATGTCACCAGCGAGGCTCACCACATTTACGACACCAAGGAGGTCTCTCGGATTGTCATCGCTATGGTAGTCACAACTCCTGACTGCAGATCATGGATAGCGAATGCGTCCGTGGACTTGTCCCATGGTTGGCAAACAAAACATGCTGACTCCAAGCGTGCCTCTGCGCGCAGCCCCAACATCGCGCCCAGCTTCAGCAACTTAACTTGAGCCCAAGGGCCGCGGCGCACTGCATTTGAAGGAACCACAGGTATTGCTGGCTGGTTGGCATCAGCTTGGCCTTGACACATAGCCACCAAACGTTCAATGAACGGCTTTGGCTGCCCAAATGGTATCTGTCTCCATTTGGGCTAGACACCACGACCAGAATCAGTTGTGGTGCTTTTATCAATTTAGCCGTAGTTTTTCGAGAGCAGCCAGTCGTCGGCATGTCCCTCTCGCGCTCCAATGGCCGCCTCTATCGACTGCAACTGCGGCAGCGCTTGATCGTGGCCATGGGTGGGCGCTGCTCGAGGCAATCCTGCCATGGCACGTTGGTGATTCGTGCGCTGAGTGTGGCACAGTCCATCGGAGACGAGGCCATTGACAAGCACCAAGAGCATACGGCAAGGCCTGCCCAACAACTGTCAGTACAAAACCGTAGTCGCCACTCCGTGGGCAGAATTGGCAGTATGAAAGTTGAAACTGGGAGTTGGCACCTAGACCAACAGAACCAGCACCTCAAGCGCGCAAGACACGCTCCATAAGTATCATCTCAGGTATCAGGTGCCCGCAAATTGGTGTAGCTGAGAGACCCCTCAAAAGCTTGGTCCCCTGTGCATCGAAAATCCGAGCCGAAAGGATCAAATTGGCTAACAGCCTTTGTTTCCCGTCTTTGTATGAACCCAAGAAGCCCCGAAGCCTGGTGGCCGGCTTGCGAATTTCCCGCGAGGCATCCTTTCGTGCCCAAGAGCTGGAAGAGCGCCGGGCCCTGAACGAGGAGGGGAAGATCAAGACGTCGCGGGGTCGTTGCCTTTCAGAACCCTCAGTAGGTGTCATTATACTCAACTATTCGATGCGTATAATGCTGGAGCAAATATGATTGCATGTTTTCGGGAACCGGAGGTCCTGGAGGAACTTGGTCTCAAAAACCGGTGGGGACAAACGGTAAATCCCTGGATGAAGCTCACTTTCTGCGACCGGCTCAAAGCCTGGAGATTGCGGCCGCCACTTCCCAACAGCTTTCAGATGTGAGTTACGCTCATGAAACATGAAGGTGTTGTCCTTGAATCGGGCCTTGTGCGACAGTCAAACAGAGGGATGATCCAAAGGAGTTCATTCCCAATGATTCCTCGAAAGAAAACAATCTTTCACCGGAACCCACCGCCTGGGCCAGTGAGAGCCGATCGCTTTTGAGCAGACTTGCAGTGTAGGTGCGTGTGTGTGTGTGTGTATATTGATGCTGGGGTCCTTTCTGGGTAATCATTGTTTCTTAGCTCTTGAGACTCTTCCATGAGGCGTTTCATTTCGTCCTCGAAGGCAGCAGGTTGCCGTGAAGCGATTGTCCTGAGTTTGGGCTTCGTTCAGGGAGCATGTTCATGCTCAAGCGTGGGTCACTGGACAGCGAAGTGAAAGCCAGCCACTGGGAACAGAGAGAGGGGCTTTGAGGATATGCCATCTGGTTGTGGCGGCGGTTCAGCTTCGCACCACATAAACATTGCGTTGGGGAGAAAGCTGCCAGGCGAGCCAAAGTTACTTTCATGTGTTTATTGTAAACGCTGCGCGTTGCCCGCCTCGGCCCAGCCGAGCGCACAGCGCCTGTGGTACGACTGCAAGCAGCAGAGCTGGTCAAGTGGCGATTCAGGCATGGACAGGTTCTGGCGTCGTTGGAGCAATTGATGTCATGGACCCGCAGGAATCCCCGAAACAAGGGCAAGGCGATGCGCAGGACCAAGAGTGAGTCATGGAGCCAGCAGACACGACGAGCTGGGCTGGACCTTGCTTGGGCTGGGCGGGCTGGGATGAGCCTTGCTTGGTGGTTGCTGGTTGGGCTGGGCCTGAGGTGAGTCTCAGACAATGTGCTGGGCCGAGGCTAGTCTCAGACATGCGAGCCCAGCCGCAGACATGCCAGGTTGAGACAAGGCTGGTTTGTCTGACGTTGCTAATTGCTGGTTGGGCTGGGCTGTGAGGCTAGTCTCAGAGAGGTCAGACAGGCCTGGCCAGCAGGAGGTGATGCTTTTGAACTGTTTTTTTTGGACGCCGACAATTGGGTGAGAAAAGGGTGGGAGGCGAGATCTGAGCACCCTTGGCCCCTTTCAGGCCGAGGCAAATTTCACTTCCAGGTCAGGTTGTGCAAGAATAGAGGCGCAGTGGCCCAGGCATCAGCTGTCTCATTTGCCCGCGTGAAAACATGCAGGGCTGCAGATGTGATCAACGAGCCGTGCTCTACGTGCAGCGCTATGCCCCCCCCCTGCCCCCCACCCCCGAGACGCCCCATCCGTGCCTGTTGCCGTTGGCAACGACCGCATGATGACCCTCAAAAGGATAACAATCAATCATGTCATTAATCCCAGACCGAATCAACACGAAGCATCCACGTTCGGATGAACACAGCCCCAACCGGCATCAACAGGAGAGGAACGGATGGGCAAAATCCCAAGGGACTGCCTCCCATCAGAATTGACCGAAGCCAGGAGAGGAAGAAGCGCCTTTCGGAGGGCTTGGGCATGCGCTTCACTGCAGAGGCGGAATCTGGCAAGTCGCCTGAATGAGTCCATCGGTGAAAGGGAACGTGTGTCGAGTTTGCTTGGGGGTGTTTTTTTTTATTGGGGGGGGGTTATACCTACCAAAGACCTTGCCCCCATACAGACATCGTCCCGCCACACAAACTTATTACATAAATTTTCACAGATATTTTTCAAAATATAAAATTTTATGATAAAGTTATATCATAAAATTTTACCAGCATCCTTACAAACCGCGGTTTAAATTATCAATATGTTTTTTGCATTTCAAATGTCTAGACCAGTTAGGGTTTTTAACTTTACAACCGCAAACCTCACAATCTCTTTCATTTTGGTTATATGCCTTTTTTCTTCGCGGTGCTCAGCATCATATTTCTTGCTTACCTCCTTAATTCTTTCTGGATTTTTTGCCCTATACCTCTTCCAACTTTCTGCGCAAACTATGCACCAAGTTTTCCCAGCAACTAATTGACTAGGAAGTTTTTTACATCTACATGAAGTGCATTTTGTTTTTTCAGGTTCATCCATCCTTACTATAGTGTCTTAACTTCCCTTTAGGTCAACACCATCTTACACAAATCCCAAATTTCCAAAATATAAAATCCCCATAATTTTCAAACATAAATCTTACAATGTTTTTATTGTAAGGTTTATGGGTTAATTTATAGTTTAAGTTCAGGATAATAATTCAATTGGTGACTATTAAATTGTTGATACATCTTACCCTTTCATGCATCATTTTTAAAATAATATTAATATCTCTAACTGAGTTTTTGACATTAAACTTTTTTCTTTCAATATATGTTTTAATGTCTTCTTTTACATCAAACCTTTCCCTTTTATGATAAGCCAACATCCATAATACACCTGCAATCATTTCATATTGTTTCTTACTGATTTTCAGAAATGCTCTAACATAACTATAAGGTGGTCTTTCATACACAATCAAAAATATCAAAATGTCATCTTCTACATTTCTATTATGTCTTCCTTTTATTCTCAACACACAACTGATTATAGCTTGGTTATCTCTCCAGGTTTTACAATTTTCACATAAATCTTCTTCACCCAAAGCATAATCAATAATATTATTTATTATTCCATTAGCTAAGTTTAATTTATACAATTCCATATTTTCCTTTTTAAAGTGGCAACAATCATAGCATTTCTTATTAATATACTTATTGATTTCAATACCGTTCATTTCTTCACTATTAATATAAGGTGTTTTTTCTTTAGGTCTATTTCGCCTAAAACAAAATTATTAATTAACATTATTTTTAATAACAAATCACAGAATTTCAAAACATAAATCTTACAATGATTTTTATTGTAAGGTTTATGGGTTAATTTACAATTTAAGTTCAGGGTAATAATTTAATTGATGACTACTAAGTTGTAAATATATTTTACTTCTTTCATGCATTATTTTAAAAATAATATTAATATCTCTCACTGTATTTTTGACATTAAACTTTTTTCTTTCAATATATGTTTTAATGTCTTCTTTTACATCAAACCCTTCCCTACTATGATTAGTCAACATCCATAATATACCTTCAATCATTTCATATTTTTCTTACTGATTTTCAGAAATATTCTAACATAACTATAAGGTGGTCTTTTATACACAGTTAAAAATATCAAAATGTCATCTTCAACATTTCTTTCATTAAACCTTTTAATACTTAAAGTACATTTGATTAATTCTTGATAAAACCTCCAATTTCTACAAATTTTACATAAATCTTCTTCACCCAAAGCATAATCAATATAATTTATACAATTCCATATTTTCTTTTTTGAAGTGGCAACAGTCATAGCATTTCTTATTAATATACTTATTGATTTCAATACCGCTCATTTCTTCACTATTAATATAAGGTGTTTTTTCTTTAGGACTATTTCGCCTAAAACTAAATTATTAATTTAAGTCTTTCTATTATTTTATCACACGTTGTTTCATTATAAATATTACTTCCTATTTTTGTTCTAAACAACCCCATTGTTCTAATTGCATGTGTTATTGTATATCTAAGTTCGTCAATTCTATACTCATCATTTAAAAACTCATTTAAAAAATTAAACAATACAACATAGTTTAAGCGTTTAATATTAAAAGACATATTGTATAATCTTTTTACCATACAATAATACTTAAAAATAAATTCATTATTATATCCTTCGTCATCACATTCTAATAAATGATCAAACCCTTCTATAGTTAAGAAATTATTCATTTCAATAAACACAAATATTTCTAAATCATCATCAAGAGTTTCATTATGTATAATATCAATATGTTTGTTATTCATATCATCATTTTTTTATAATTCTATTGCAATTATTGCATATCATATATTGACAAATATTATTACAAACGCCATTTGCAAAACCCCGTTCAATTGGTAATTTGAGCATTTCACAGTCTTTACATTTATAACTCATAAACTTGTTTTTCAATATATTTTTAGCATTGATACCGACTGTATCACTCATTTCACTATAATATATTAAGTTATTATTTCTTCAAGTCATTTTGAAATCATAAATCTTACAATGTTTTTTATTGTAAGGTTTATGGATTAAAATAGTGGTCAGGCAATATGTCTTCAAATATGTAATCTACATATTTATCTATATCACCAATGTATATATATTTGATATTGTTTTTCCTATTATTGAATAAATATATTCCCAAAAGAATAAATACAACAATAGACATACTTTATATTTAGTGTTGTAGTAATACCATATACTATATTTAGTTGCTCTAAATTCGTTCAAGACTTCGTTTATTTTATCTTTGTCTAATAAATGCCAGTCAATCCATTCAAACAGATAACGGTATTTTTTGACAAATGCTTTATATGGTTTAATTGCGTTTGTTCCTCCAAACCTCCTAATTAAATCTATATTACTAAAGAATTCATCAATTTCATTTTCAAATGACTTTCTGGAAATCTTCTGGTAAAAGTGTATAGGAAATCTTGCTTGGTGTCGCATAAAGAATTTTAATTGTAACTGAAACTTTGTATATCCCTTATCCTTATGTTCTTCAAGAAAAAACTGTTCAAGGTCTCTTGTTATACAGCATTGATTGCAATATACATTATATTCACTTATTTTATTACATACATTTGCCGGTAGTATATGATGTAAGGTTAAACTTAAATTATTCATTTGCATTTACAGCATTCGCACTTGTTATAGTTAAACAACATTTCACTAATATTATAAGGCGTTTTTTCTTTAACTGTATTTCGTTTAATATTAAACTTTCAATAATTCGTGTCTCAAATAAGGATTAGTTTTTCCTTCCAAATGAAAGTAAGATTGCCCTAATTTACTATCAATTGATTTTACTTTAAATACTTCTTTTAACCAATGACTGGTATGTGCCTTTTCGCTTATGCCTTTCTTCCTCATTATTTTTACATTACTTCCTACGTTTAATTCTGGATACATTCTAGTTTTCTTTGCTTGCATTGTAATATGAATTTTTTCCTCAAATTCATTCTTTTTTAATCTTGCCTGTGCTGGAACAAAGCGGGTGGCAGAATGCACCATCTTATTATTGTAAGTTAATAATATTTCAAAAATATAATCCGTCCATTGGATATTCTGCTTTCCATTTTTGTTGTCCGCTTCAACTCGTTTAAGCAGTTGATCTTTAAAAGTCTGAATTCCACGCTCCGCAAATGCTGGATGACCTCTAGTTCTATGTAATTCAATTTTCTCCTCCTTCAAATAATCTAATACTGATTGATTAAAAAAACTGCCTTCCTCGTCGGTATAAATTAATTTCGGTTTGCCACCCATCTTATTGATATTCTCCATCATTCCTGCTAAAATGTCTGGCGGTGTCTTGGATTTAATTGGCACGATATGCATATATTTGCTAAAAATATCAATGCATATCATTCCAATTCTAAATGTTTGATTTTCCAAATCATTTTTAAAAATGAAAAACATATCAACTTGAAATTCCCAGAAACTATGCGGAGCAATAAAACTATTTTCACCTCTCATCTTTCTTTTTTCTTCTACATTCTTACTAAAGAATTCATTAATATCGTTTATTGTAATACTACTATCTTTTTGCTTAGCATCCTTGAGGGTTGTTTGTTTTGAACCATAACCGCTTCTATCATAATATACACTCTTAATAATTTCTTGTGTTGAACTCATTAATTAAGTTAATACATTAATTTTGAAAAACTCATTTTCAAAATTATTCATGACGCGCTGCAATTGCAATAGACACAAGAGGCGGTGCAGTTTTCAACTGTGTGGCATAACTCATTATCACAACGTTGAGCAGTGAAGTTAGAACTTATTTTTCCTCCTCTTGTATCTAGATTAAATTTAATTCCGCAGTTTTGGCAACAGGATTTGAAGTATTTTAAGCACCAGTTTTCGTCAATGTATTGCTCTTCGTCTATTTCTCTTTTTGCTACTCTATCTTGCTGTTTATATCCTTCAACTTTGTTTTTAAAATAGTTGATTACCAAACTCTTAAACATATCTTCATCTCCCTCTTTGTTCTTGTAAAAATAGACATTGTTAAAATCCCTTCGCTCGTGTGATACTCGTCCACAACCATTCCCTACAAACTAAATAATCTTTGTTCCATTCGTGAATGGTCATATTATCACTGATTGATGTCCCCTGTCTGCTATGAGTGGTAGCACAGTAGGCATATCTAAAATGCTTATCTACAATATCAATGTCAAGTGTTCTAATGTTCTCTGCATCCTTAATATCTTGTATTGTTATCTTGTATCCTTCGTTATTAACAACCTTCCACCTAATATTAACATTCAGTTTTCCTTCCTTGTCCTTTTTGTAAAGTCTGCATATTAAGATTTCTCCAATTTCATATTTGCATGTTTTACCTAATCTTTTTCTAATCTCATTGGATACTGCCTCACATCTAATATTTGTATATGCTATGTTGTTTTCACTATTCATAACATCTTTAGTAAATTTGAAATGCT